TTATGGTTAATACATTTCTAATGCTTACATATAATTTTCGTAGATATTATAAGAATTTTTTATACTGCTCGGATGATAATAATGTATAATTATCATTTATATTACAGAAATATGTACCTAGTTGATATGCACGCAAAGACAAATCCTTACAGCTTTGTAATTGATTTAATTAATTACAATAGTTGATGAGAAAGTGACAGATAAAGTTTTGCTTTGTTTTTTATAATTCATGATAAATGCGACATACTAAAACAATTTATAATGCATGATTTGATTTACTGATGGCCATGACAGTATTTCATCGACGAAACTTTATTACTATCATTTAAAGTGTTTAATTTTAAATTTCTCATTGCTTTCATTATTTATTTTATCAAAGTGTATTCTAATCAAAAGGCGTAAATATGTCATCCGTATATCTAATTCAAAAAAGAAAAAAATAATGCTTGATATTAAATTCCGATATTGATGATGATGACGGCAATGAGCGCAGATCAGGTCCAGTGATAACAATTTCTATCCGACATTTCTGCCTTTTGCTCGAAAATCAGCTGGATCGAACACCATCATTGCCTATACAACATTTACATTCTTTTTTCCACTTTCATTTCTAATTATCATTGCACATTTAATTTATTTATATCATTTTATTTTTACAATGGGACGTTATGAAATCAGAAGAGAGCATTGATGTTGCAAAGTTTGTAGAAGCAGAGAGGAAAAGAAAGTAATACTTAATAAAAGTGAGATATTTCGTCGTGAATTACAAAAAGCAGGAATTGGATAAATAAAATTGAAGTAGGGTTAGAGGGTTCTTTCGCTTACCTTCCGACATGGTTTCAGATCACTTGTGTAACTTTGAATTGCATTGTTTTCTTTTTTCCTTTTTTAGATAAATAATTTAGTTAATCATGGAAGCAATGAAAATTTGACTTAATCAAATCATCACTTCTAACTTATCATTTTATTGGCATGCTTATAGGGTATTATATAATTGTTATTCCGTTGTGATAATGTGATGATATTAATTTAATAAGTCCAATCAGTCTGGGAAATTTCTGCGCTATTTGCATAACTGTTGAAGTGATCCATTCAGCAGTTGTTGAAGATAAATAAGAAAGTTAATTTCTGCAACAGCTCTTCCGTTTAGACTAGTTTTGAAATCTCTGAAGTATTATTCAGTTCGAATTTACGGTTAATGAGTGATGTAACTAACTGACACTGCCTGATTAGATTAGTTGATTGAATGAAATGATTTAATGATATTATGTTGTGAATCGCTTTCAGCAAAATTTATCGATGCCCACATTCAATAGCATACTATCATCATTGTTATGAATGATACTACCACTAAAGTGATGCTGTTAATCATTCAGCAATCTTGTAGATAAAATAGATGAATGATAATCTCTATGACCCTACTAATCCAATGAAAATATTTCCAATTTTCTCTACCAGTCAACATTTAATCATATTTGGATATTTAATTATTCATGTCCTAACGTAACACTGCTATATAATTCCACTAATTATTAATTCTTCCTCATAATCTTATTAATTAACGAAGTGCATCAAAATAAATTAATGAAGGCATGTGTAACAACAAAACTTCACATTCACACTAGAAAGTTTGAAATCCTTATGTCATTTAAGTCATTGGCAGCGAAATCTTACGTCAATCAATTTCTTCTTTTCCTTCATCAATCTTTCTATTATTTGTTTACAAATTATGCAAATGATTAAAAATAGTGATAGTAATACGTTAACAGCAAATATCAAAAAAGGGAGGAAAAAGGAATAAAATTAATGAGCAATAGTTTAATGAATAGAAAGAAGTCTAAAGCTGTCAATTGTGATTTATTGTTAGATGATCATTAATTTTTGGGATCAACAAAATTTCCATTTAAATTGGGGTACAGTCAGAGAGAGGGTATCGGTCGTCCAGTCAATCATCGGTATGAACTCCCTCAGATGCCGCAATCAAAGGTATCTATGAAGATTCACTGATGGCCATCACTGATAACAGAATGAAACTGATTTCTTGAAGGTCATCAAACCATCAGTGATGATGATTATCGGCGGTAGCACTCGTTTTCCGACTACTCCCTCTCGACAGTCATTTTCCACCTCTTCGTTCCCTTCTTACTCTGCAGCGAATCTTGTCAACCACAATTTCTCACCCAATTCATAATACACTAAAGATTTGAAAAAAAAAAGAAAAAAGAGAAAGAAAGAAAAAATTGTTTTATCTAAATTGATTGCTGAAAGAAAAGCGAAAGAAGCTAACAAATTATCAAATTATCAAAAATTTAATTTTTGTTGGCAAAATAATCACTGTTTTTATCATCACAATTATTTATTTCGCATATGATATAAGATAAATTGCAACAAAATTTACGAATGTAAGAGACATTGAACATACATCATTTGATGATTGAATATTATAAAGTGGGAAATCACAGAATGAAAAGTTCGCATATGGTGGCATTATTTGGGATTTTGATATTTTCTGATTGCTTTTTTTTTCGAACTTTCATGGTTCAGATCGATCATAATGATATTTATTTCGATTAAGATATAGTGCAAATAGAGAAGGAAAATCCATTCTAATCAAAAGTGTCTATGTACTGATACACTACTTATCACTTATAATAATAACATATCAGTAAAAGTATAACACATCCGTTGAATAAAATATCCCAATCAATTATATCAGTTTTTTTTCGTAGTAATCAATAAATTTTGAGTAGATATCATAACTTTTCCTTCTTTTCTATACACTTTACTGATAATGCATTAGGCATGGCATAACAATAAGCATATAGCACTTTTTTTTTCTGGCTGTATTCTCCGAGCAAAAATTTTGATATCGGATGATAGGTTTGGTCGGCACAACTGGGAACCGTTTCCCAAATTCTGCAACTATTACTATCACCAGCATCATTTCATCTCATCGCAAACCACTATCATCATCATCATCATCATCATCATCATCATCATCATCATTATCATCATCATCATCGTCATCATCATCATCATCATCATCATCATCATCATCATCGTTACCGCCATTACCATTGCCGCCATCATGAATAACTATCGTCACTGCTACATCAGCTTCATCAGTTCGTATTAATTATAACTAAGAGAAAACAGTCGATCGCTAACCAGTACCATTTTTTATCCCTCTTCTTTATTTTGCATAAAAATACTTTGAATGTTTTCTCTCTCTAAAAGAGAGAGGGGAAAAGAGAAAGGGAGAGGTAAAGAAGAAAAATAAAAAAGAGAAGAAAGAATGAGAGAGAAAGAAAAAAAAACTCAGCGATCCTTGAAAAATAATCGATTCTTACTTATCTTTTTTTTTCTCCTGCAAAATGAACGAACTACTTCGTCATATCTATAATGAATGCATCCATTTTCTTCGCGCATTTCTCGATAGTATTATTCCTTCCTTTTCTACTTGTGTACTGTTTAGCTGGACAAACTTTAACCTCAAATGTTGACCTCAAACATATTAGAAGTTGAAATTTGAAGCAATAATTAACTAATTTCATTTTTAATGTTTGGCAAAATTTCTTTTTTCCTTTCTGCTTCATCCATTTTTTGAATGACTGACTATTTAAGGAAAATGGATGTATGAATGAACAACTGAATCACTGAATAATTGAAGATTGAATGAATGAATGAATTTATAAGAGGATGAATAAAAGGATGAAGGAAGGAATGAGTTAATGAATGAGTAGAGAAAAAAGGAAGGAAGAAAGGAAGGAAAAAAAGGAAGGAAGGGAGGAAGGAAGGGATGAGTTATGGTTGAAGGAATGAATAAATGAATCGAGGAAAGAAGGAAGAAGGAATGAATGAATAGCTCTCATATTATCATCATCGTTGCAATTTCAATTATCGCTGATAATATAAATGGAACTTATACTTCTTTCATAAGCAGAATGAACGATGACTCAATGGGAACGATGATTTGTTTTGATATAATGCAAATTTTCAATGGATTTTTTTGCAAATTAAAAGTTTAAATTTATTATTAAAGACAAATTTTGTTTGATGAAATGAAACGAATAACAATTAAGAAATTCTAAACTTATATACAGCACTATAAGTAATCTTTATTTACAATACTTTAACATTATATATTCTAACACTAAGACTTTTCGATTTATTGGGAATTGGAATACGATGAAAATTAAACAAAGTGGGAAATAAATCGATATCATATCATATCAATAAAATTTGAATAAAAGCATATCGATTGTTCTTTTCGAACATGTCAACACTCTTTAAATAATTCAATCAAACTGTGTATATATAACTAAATGATGAAAACTAATTGGTAATAAAAACTTTCAATCAATTGGCAGAAGGTATTATATCTGAACTTCTTTGCCTTCATCTGCTATACTGACTGACCTTTCGACCAACTGAAGAAGATCGAAGATGAGTCGATAAAGATGAAGGAAGATATGAGTTAATTGAGTTATATGCTCAGAATCCATCTATCTCCTTCTCCCGTTTGTCTTGCACTAATTGAATGTCCGATCAGTCAAGGTTAACTGCTCTAGTCAATCTGCATAATTTGTCATTTGAAGTTTTTGATAGTTACTTATAAATCTATCTGTCCTTGGAATATTTTCAATGTAAACGAAGACATTTTGATATTTTAATCTGTTATTACTAATTTAGAATCAAAAAAAGTTATTGTTTTTGTTAACATTTTTATTTACTGTATTGTCTTAAGAAAGAAAAGGGATGAAAAAACCGATCGTTCGAAAAAATCTTTCTTTTCTTTTGGTCTGCTATATCAACAATAACAACGATGTGGTACTGATATGTGATATGATATGATACAAAAGAAACGGACAATAATACTAATCCTTGCTAGCAAAAACATTTGTGAGAATAATTTCTTGCATATTAAAGAGAAAGGAAATATTTTAGCTGATATAGCTAGAAATAGTTTACGAGAACAGTGCAAGCGTATATATTATCTTGAAATCACTCTGATTACTCAGTGCTATTAAGAAGTTCAATTTTCGGATTATTTGCAACAATTTTTTCCGGATTATTTATCGATTTCAGAAGGTACCATTGCCAATTTGTTGTCTTCAACTAACAATTCATGTCGAAGAACTTTTTGAATTACTTCTGCGTTCGGTCGTTCTTTTTCATCTGTTGCTTTACAGTACCATTCTCTTTCTAACTTTAGTTCAATATAAGAAATTGTTCTGATATGATGAAGTGTTGGAATGAAAAACGCCACGGATAATTTGAGTGATAATTTTAAACCTTAATTGTTGCTGTTTACTTTTCTAATTTATAAGAAAATATTCGCAAAAGAAGCAATATTGATAAGACTGCTGATATGGCTGATACTGAAAAATGGGTTGATTATTTGCTTGTTTACTTGCTTACTTCCTTTGGATGAAAAGAGAAGTGAAGGAGGAAAGGACTAGAATAGATGAATTGGATCAACGGATAGTTGATAGTTAGTATTGAAAGCGACAGCTGACTTGCTTGCTCATTTGACAGATTAGACAAATTCTTCTGTAGTTAATTTCGATTGTGGTAAGTTGAATAGCTGAAAGTAACTGTAATCGGACAGAAATGTTTGATCATTTTTAGTTGTTTGGATAGGATCTTATTAAGTTATCGTAGCACAGTTCACTTCTAATAAATCGTTTTTAACGAACTTTAAAGCGGTAATGTTCGCGTTCAATTATTTACTAGTCTTCAAAGTTCTTGCCTTTAATTTCATTTAACCCACTCCTTTATCTTTCTACCAACTGCCTTTTAGCGCATTAACAATACCGCCACACGACATACGCTTTCTATATTATTAATTACTCAGTAAAAAGGCTATGCGATCCCGCAACTGTTCCAAATATATGGCACAGAATTTTGTTATTCAGCGATAAGCTATAAGTATTGCCGAGCTCCGACGACGATGACGATGACGATCGAACCTCCCGACCTCTTTCTTCTTCTTCTTCGCCTTTTTCTTCAAGGCAATCATCCGACTTATGGACACCATTTGCCGCCATCTCTTTCCTCTTCTTACTCGTCCCGCTATCACTAATGCCACTTTGTATGTCAATTTTGATTAGTTTCGTAAAGCTCAATGAAATTTTTTGCTTACATTTACCGCATAGAACTAATTCGTTTATCCATTCATTCATTCATTCATTCATTCATTCGTCTACTCATTTCATTCAATCAACTTATCTTCTTTCTTTGATCTTTTTTTTGCTTCTCTTGATGGAGTTTATTTTCTTGCTTTCTTATTATTTTTGTCAAAGCGAAAAAGGAAATTCCAATTTCAGGATTTGAGGTTTATGGAAGAAAACTTATGAAATTTGTGTCTTTTTCGTTTCCGCTTTTCCTCTCTCTCCCTCTCTCTCTTCTCTCTCTCTTTCTTTTTCAGTTGAGAAATGGAAAAAATGCTTCATACGGGGAATAAAGCTTTAACAACAATCATCTCTTCCGTCACTTTACCAACAAAACATCAACAACCTTAAATTATTAATGACTTACATTCCGTTAGGAATAAATTCACCGTTGTACAAATTTTTTCCTTAAAAAAAGAAGGAAAAAAACAAAACAAAACAAAGAGAAAGACACTTTCTCATTTATCTTATAATCGATTACTTTTGTAAGTTAACTTACGTCTAATACAATGTTGTACTTTACTAATTTTCCTTTGATTAATCTTTGCAAAGTTAAAGTTAAAGACATAAAAACTTACGTTGGAATAGCTTATTCAGCGATTTTTTTTCTTTTTTGCAAATATAAATTAATATTTGAAATATTAATTATATTAATCATTCATTTACTTGTTTCTGTCCTTGTTTTTATTTGTTTGTTTGTAGTTGCCCGTAGTAATTCACTAATCACAAATATAAATTAGTATCTGAAATATTATTCCTTCATTTATTTGCTGAAATATACAGTAGCACATTAGTTTTGAGAATAGTAATCATGAAATATAGTGATCAGATATTAATTATTGAACGGTTGATTTATCCTAAAGTAACGTTGAAGTATGGCATACATACCGATTGCTAGATTAGTTAATATTAAATCTTACAGTTAATTAAACAGAGCGCATGCATTTCCGTATGCTTTATATGAAAAGTTATACGCACACATCGTTGGTCATTAAGATGCAATAAAATCACAACCAGAAATGGGAACCACAAGAACAATTACAATATTTCCTGATCATTTAACATTTTATCCATTTAATTATTTCCTATCTTATCCACTGTGATTAGAGGATATCAATTAATCCTGACAAAAGGATTGAGCGATAAAATAAACTAATTAATAAGTATTGTATTTGATAGCTCTAAGTATTAGCTTAATTTCCTCTGGAATTGCATATTACTATTTTTTAAATATTATCTTCAAGAATAGAATTTTCAAATCTTTTCCTTCAATGATTCATACTTATCGTAGTAGTTTCTTCATTCAAAAAAAAAAGAAAAAAAAAAGAGCTGCACTAAACTGCACTGAATTACAAGTGATAAATATAATCATTTTTAGTTAAATGGACAATTTCGAACCAAAAATATTAGTTGCCAGCTATTTCTGTTTGTCTTTCAAATTTTAAAATTTGCTAACATTGCACACATCAAATTTCATCACCAATTGTCACAAATTTCACACTCTATTAGGCCATTCCTGAAACTAAGTGCCGTTCCGTGCACTAGTACCGAACGAACAGTTTTCAAAATCAAAAATCGAAAACAAAAAAAGAAAAAAGGAAAGAGTGAAAGACTTCGAAATGATTCCTGTCATTTGTAAAAAAAAAAAAAAGCAGAAATGATTTATTAGATAGATAAATTGCTAATGGTTAGCTAAGTCTGTCTGACAGTTAAATATGTGTTCGATCATTTAGTGGAATTTTGTCAAAATTCTTTTTTTTAGTGCTTTAATTCTTTCTAAATAAATAAGATCAATGGATTAAAATTGTAATTTTTTAAATTTAAAAATTTTTAATTTAATATTTTAAATTTAAAAAAATTTAAAAATTTTTAAATTTAAAAATTTTTAATCAAATTTAATATCTACTCTTATTGATTTACTTCTTTCTACTTGATTTTTTTTATTTTTCTTTTTCAATTGTCATTGTAGATCGAATGATACATAAATCTGTTCGTATACCGTATTATCCACCCACAGAATGAAGATGTGGAAAAGATTGAAAGCTATGGATAGGAATGATAAATTGATATATGATAAGGGAAATGAAACTTTGAATTTCATTTCAGATCCGACAAATGATATACCTATAAAATTTTGGGAAAAAAGACACTTCCGGAAAGTGGTTTATTAAATTTGTTTTATTTCGTCCAGTTCTTCAATTTTTCCTTATCATTAAAAAACTGTCAGCAAATCAAAGAAAAAAGTTCATGCTTTCTTACTTAAATTGTAATATTTTATTATTTATGTATTATCATATTTTATATTTTACTTGAAATTTCTTCAAATCGTTTCAATCTCTTCCTCTTTTTAAAATATTTAATTTTTTATTTTCACTTACATCATCTCTTTTATTTATTTTTTTAAAATCCTTGTTTACTTATACTTCCTTATCTACCGGATTGTCTACCTGATTTTTTTCTTTTTCTTGACAAAATTCACTAAGACTAATAAGCCAATCGTTGATTCAAATATATTTGTGACAACTGAAGAAAGCAAAAATCTATCTCACAATGAACTTCCTGCTCTGTTTTTTTCTTTTTTTTTCCCTGAGATGCCAGTTAATTTGACGGAAAAAGTCAGTGGAAATTTTTTGTTAACTTAAAAGAAAGAAGAAAAAATCACTTTTTTCTTAAATTGAAAAAGACAAAGTATTCCATAGGTTACCGCGAAAATGTCATAATGCTACTCTTAATTAGCTTTTTCATTTTGGAAAATTTTATTTCCTCTTCCTTACCTGTTCCATCACATTTTTCATTTTCTTCAATCTTTGCCAACCAAAACTGCTGAACCGATCATTTGGTCCATCGATCATTTGGTCCATCAGTACTTACCTTAGTACTGATCATTTCTGTTCTGTGCATTCTTTTGCTTCGCTTTTTTCTTGTATCAAAAAATGCCTCAATAATTTATTATCTGTTCAGAACCGAATAAATTTGTGTTAATATTTCGAAAATAAATTTCAATTTACTATTACTTACTTTTGGAAATGATTCGTTGAATATTTTAAGCATAATTGTTCAATTTTTAATTAGTTGAATGGATAACAAATCGATGATAATTTTAGAAGGAAAAGAGTAAATTTGGCCGATGTTGTTTCAATTGCAATCTGAGCATAAATTTCGCTTATAACATCAATTGGATCCATTGACTTGTTAGGGGAAAAGAAAATCAAAAAACGAAAAATATTTTTACTTCCGGGATTTCATTTCTTCCAGAATGCTGTATAATTCTCCACATGTGTAGAATAAACTTTATGATTTAGTATAGAATGAATTCATATAGAATGGATTCATAATGTACACTTCTGCATCGTCACAAGTAAAGGCCTGTAATTCAGTTATAAAATTGGCATCACAATTTTTTTTTTTCAATTTATCACATTGCAAACAAATTCTCACAGATGGATAAGTAATAGTGAAATAAGTATTGATGTATATGTGATTTGATAATATATGCATTATCAATTCATAAAGAAAATTTGCACTTCTTGATTAATATATGAGTACCTATAGATTGAATTTGTAAATCATTTTATGAAATTTGGCTCTGTAAACTTTGAAAAATAATAGGTTAAAGTGTTGAGTTCTCTTCCTTAATAATCCATTAATTATTTCGTACTTTTTTTGGTCAAACTATCCACATCTGATATCATCAAGTTCCACACATGATATGATATCGATTATCAGATATGTAACAATTGTTAATGAAAATGTATGTATGCCTGTCTATTTTGCTCAATAAGTGCTCAACAATTTCTATTATGCTTAATTTCTCCAACATCAGATCTGATCGGTCGTTTATGTTTGTCTATCCATCTTTTTCTTTAGTCTTATGTCTCCCGGATCTATCTCAGGAACAGCTGCTTGCTACACTTGGAATATTTCTTTCACTGATCAACCGGGATGACAAGAGATGTTCAAATCAGGCTGTTGCTGTGTGGTTGTTATTGGTGATAAAAATGTTTGGTAGTATGGATGGACAATATCACACTCTCTTCCGCTTCCACTCCTCTCCAGCTTATCCCCGTTACTTTATACTTTTGCCATATATCATATATCATTCAACAATTTACTGCTAAATATATCAAATAATGGTTTTTTTTCCAAGCAATAGTTAATTGTATTCCCGAGATTCCTCATACCTTTTTAGCACACTTTTCCTTTGTTTGCAATACTCGGATAATAATAGGGAGAATGCTCGGCAAAAAAAAGAAGCACATCCTTGCAAAATGAACTTTGGGATCTGATAAATTCAACTTTTTAAGCTTTTATTGTTTGCATTTTAGACCTTTCAGAAGTATTAACACAGTTCAAAGGTCATGAGAAATCATTACACGATGATTGAGTAAGGGATAGAAGCAAATTTTTGCATCTGATAACGTAATGATATGAATTATCATCATACCATCTAATCATTTATCAGTATAGAATGTGTCATTAAAGGAGTTAAAAAGTGTTTCTTCTCTTTTTCAAAGGGAACAGAAAACTTAAAGCTTTCATAAATAAAAATTCAATTCCTAAAAATTCAACTTTTACACATATTTGAAATCGATTTACTTCTTTGAAACTCTAAATGATGGTTAATATTGTTTTGTTTTGAATCAGATTTCGTTTTTGTTTTTCTTATTAAAATGAATCAGTTGCAGTCTTTTTTTAACTCATATATAACCTGGAAAAGAAAAAATTTTGAAAAGCCATCATTTAAAAATTTTTTGGTATCAGTTAAATTTATCATTACCATTTTCTACTTCCAACAAATCCGATTAGACATAAGCTCGATCATGACTCCGAATATTTCTTTCAGATGATTTAATTATTTGTCCAAAAAATAATAATTGAAGAAGAGAATTGCTTTTTAATGAAATTAACAAATTGCAACCATCATAGAAGGACAAAAATCAAAAAGTAAAATATGATTTTAAAACAAGAATTAAATGATCTATCAGAATCCGTTGCAGTTTACTTTTTCTTTT